TTAAGATGGGGCCCAGCCACCATCTCTAAATTTTCAGCTGTTGAATTCACGTCAAAATATATTATTCATGTATCAGTCTTATCACATTTTTACTGCATTTATTTTGGAGTGTTACAAATACGATATACATACAACAGAATAAATGCTAGAATAACAGAGTGCTCTTCCACGTCCTATAAGATAAAGTCACACAATCTACATTCAAATCTTTAATATGAATTTGTATAATTTGTATAAAAGCTTACATTTTTTGCATTTTCTTGGTTTTTATAAGAAAAAAAATCAATATAATACTAACGTTACCTAACCCAACTGAAAATATATTTGTACAGCATGGAGTACCCGACCAACTAATTACATACATCTAAATACATTTTACATACAGCTTTCTCACATCTTTATAAACGTTTTTTGGACGGAGCCAAAGTATTATCTTTGTAACGGACGTTGACATCATGTACTGCTCTTCTGAATTTCAAAATGTCACACAATATAGATACATTTTTTAATTACTTGGCAACAAAATTTGGAAACATATTCTTTTTCTACTTTCTCGCTTCCACCATCCCAAATAATATACGGATCCTAAATGGATTCCATTTTCTTTTATCAGTTTTCACCATGGTTGTTTTCGAACTTGAAAAGTGACTTCAGGTAGATAGTAGATTTCCACAACTTTAGTTCGCTTGCCTAAAACCAAAAATTTGTTTGTCCAATAAGATTTTAAACATCTAAATGGACGAATTCCATTTCAGATTTAATGCTTACTTTATCTAGGGATAGTATCTTTGCTTTACTATTTTACTAACATTAGCTAGCACAACAATTAAGCAAAGTGTTTCCAACTTCATTTTAACAGTCGCGGTGCCACTATTCACGAACGCTCATTGAACAAAGAGATTCATTAGAAAATTGATAATCACCCATTTGAAATATTTCCGCAAAACATATTCCTGGACATCAATGAACGTGTGCATTCTAAAGTACCACGCATTATCTGGGTACCGTTCATCCAACGCCTACCTACATCGGAGTTTTCCAAGAAGGGCCGCGACATTGACAGATTTACAGCATAATAACACCAATATGCATGTAAGGTAAGTTAATACATAATAACCCTGCTACTTGTTACGCTTTGTCGGTAGAATCCAATATGTGCGGTCCATCTGAACAACAGCATATTGAGTAAAAGAAGAGTGTCGTTAAATTTGGCTAATTTCCTAGATTCATTCTTGCACCGCACATACATACAGGGTGACTTCGAAGTTGAGTCATTTATTTTAACAGTGAGTAGATCTGATCAAAAGAAATGTTTTTTTCCTTTACCATTTTCCTGGTAAAATTAAAGTAACAAAGTTATAGCCCTTTGGAAGTTTGAGTACCGCCCTGTCTCAATAATAATATTATGTGGTCGTGTTTGGCGACAACGGATATAATCCGCCGTATCGGTTCATCGCATCGGAAACAAAAAAGCGAAAGAATTTTTAACGATGCTTTTTACAATTATTTCATTCATTTGTATACAGTCAGTGTCAGTGAATAGTGGTATCTGTTGCGTGGCTCAAACGAAATAAAAAATGGCACATGTTTATGCGGATCGGTTGCCCAATCGAGTGCAACCAACCCCTCGTGCCTTTGTTAATGTAGTACAACGGGCTCGTGAATCAGGTGACTTAAGACCTCACAGGGGACCTCACGATCAAATACAGGTCCGCACTGAAATACTTGTCGGGAGGATACTTTATAAAACAAGGTAAACATTTTTTTTTTATTTTTTTTTATTTTTACACACATATTTTGGTTTATCTTCCTTCTACAATCATTATCTGAAAATTAATGACTCAACTTCAAAGTCACCCTGTGTAAGAGTAAATCCGGTAAATCATCTTGGTCTATATTGACGTACATTTCGGTGTATATTCCTAATGACCCTTGCAAAATAAGAGCAATTCCTTTGAAACACAGAGTCCTTAGATAAGAAGTGTGTGTGTGAGCATTACCAAGAATGGACAACTAGTTATTGTAGTAACACGGAAGAGAAAGAAGTAAAACTGTGCTATCAAAACGAATCTAAGGACGCCTTAAATGTCAAAATTCAAATGGCTTTGCTGTATTTCGTGAAACAGGAATTTCAAAGTCGGTTTTATTTTAAAATCCGTTCTTATGATTTTATTAAAATTTGGTATACCCAGTATTACTCGCACTGTATAGACAGATATACTGTCAGCTCGAATAGACAGGATTAGGGTCTATAAATGGAGTTCTTTTTGCCGTGAAAGTGACTCAAATTTCAACTTGATACTTGATAGCATTTATGAAAATTTTGCATTCAAGTATTTTAACACATATGCATTTTAAGTTTCTGTCAACACTTTTTTAGTTGTTATATATAGTTTTCTACTTCTCCGTGTCAGTGCTCTATTTTGAGGTTATGTCACAAACATCTATTTGCATCAAATTGTGCTTGCTTTTGAGTTGTTTCATGTTTTATCAGCCTGAAATTTCCTACAATTTAAAAAGAAAACATATCTTCACAATAGGAGAGCGCTGACGCTGACACGGGACAAGTGTAATCTAGAAATTTTTGAACGAGAGAAAGGAGTATGACAATCAAGGAGGCCATAAACGCGCCCTACAATTGTAGGGACGACTGACGATACGGGCCTTAAACAGCAACAACGAAGTTTGAGCGATTTTGATTTGTTTCGTGTTCTTACACATAGCTCCGCCGCTACTGGACTCGTTTTTGGCATAGAATCAACCTTTTGTGGAAATTTAATCAAAATCCGAACGGTACTTCTCAAATTACTGACGGGCCAACCATTAAAGCACAGACCGAGAGTCAGACAGACCCTGAGTCAGACAAACAGACAGACCCTGAGTCAGACAAACAGACAGACCGACAGATCGACGGGAATGAATGACATGGTTTTTCGTGATGTATAAATGTCATGTAATATCAAAAAAACACATTGCTCATTTTCGCGATTACGATACCCCCTGTCCCAGTGGCGCAGGAAGTAGAGGCAACCACGGTGCGATAGTCTGTTTGTGACCTGCTTGTGACTCATAAAAGCAGGCGATGAAGTGGCAGGCACAGATATACACTGAGAACCAAATTTATCTGACGGCTTGAGTTCAGTGTACAAGACAGAAGTGTGTATAGACACATATGATAGAAACAGATAGAAGCCGGCTGGTTAGTGAAGCTCATCACCGCGTTGCCTAGCAACGCTTACGCGGCAATCGCACTGCCAATATGTTACACCAGTTCCTTGAATTAAGATGCATGTTGAAAATATGCGTTAGTTCATTCGCTACGCCCAAATAATGATTTATTTTGAGCGTACACATTTTTGAGTTGTAAATTGTGTCGGATATGCTCAGGATTGATTCCGGATCGGTCCTAATGGCGGTCCATTTTAGGGCCCAATGAAAGGTTTGCATCGCCACAAATTCTGCAACATTGCGTCATTTTTTCGCTTGGCAATACCGCATCTCGTACATTCCAAGGCAAGGTTTCCACCTCCTTGATCATTGATGAGCGATTTTGGTCAGTACCCATGTAGCGCTCATTGGAGAGTGTCGTCGTATCACCATCGGTGGAAATTAAAGGATCTAAAATAAATTAAAACACTAAGGCCCGTATCGTCAGTCGTCCCTACAATTGTAGGGCGCATTTATGGCCTCCTTGATTGTCATGGTTTTCTACTTCTCCGTGTCAGCGCTCTATTTTGAGGTTATGCCACAAAAATCTATTTGCATCAAATTTTGCTTGCTTTTGAGTTATATCATGTTTTATCAGCCTGAAATTTCCTACAATTTGAAAAGAAAACATATCTTCACAATAGGAGAGAGCTGACGATGACACGGGACAAGTGTAATCTAGAAATTTTTGAAGGAAAGATAGGAGTATGACAATCAAGAAGGCCATAAACGCGCCCTACAATTGTAGGGACGACTGACGATACGGGCCTAAGTTGCATCAAAATGAAATTAATAATTCTAGTCAAAATCAAAACAAAGTATTAAGTCAAATGTTCGAACAGGCCTCCTTCTTCGGTTTGAAAGTAACTTACCTTATTGCAGAAGCCTGTGCGAACATTTTCTGGGATAACATATTGGCAACGCGGCAGATTGCATGACCTGCGTCAACGTTGCTAGGCAATGTGGTGAGGACCTTCGCTCTTTAGCCGGCTTCTATCTCGTTCTCACATGTGTCGATACATACTTCTCGCGCTTTTCTCCCGTGCACATTGAACTCAAGCGGGCAGACAAATTTGGTTTTCCCTGTATACGAATTATATTATATGACCATTATGCTGTGCGTGCAATTTGATGAGATTACTTAATTTCCTTGGTAGCATCCACGGTCCGTTGTCAAGAACTGCAGCACAAGTAAAAATCATGAAATGCCTATCGCCACAGTCTGCGGAAGAACTTTTTTTTAATCTAAAGTTCAACTAGTAGATTAATGGCTGTTCCAGGATTCAAAGTACCGATCCAGAGCTGTCATAATCTAACATTGATGGCAAATAGACACTCCAGATCCAAATAAACAAGGCTACGATGTACATTTTTTCCATGAAAGACTCAATAGTGCATCAATGGACAAAACTACGCCTTTTGATGTCATCATGTATAGGTACAATTGTGCTGGAATCAGGCGAAGTGTAGAGTCAATCCACGACTTTTTTCTATTACTTATTTGTGACCTATATGCATCTGAGAGATTTTCATCTTATTCTGGAGCTCCCGGTATGAATCACCTTTTTCAGATGATTATCAAGTTAACACCAACAAAAGTGGGGTGGGTATGCTTCGGTGAATCATAACTCTCATTGTTAAACTGTTATTCAGAGCTGAGTCCAAGCCTGTTCCTACTTAGTGGTTTCGAAAAGCAATATATCAGAGCGAGTGTTTTAAATTAGCCAGTAAATTGAATATCACGAACGCCTATAACTTATATATCCAGCATCGACCTACCTACACCTACCTACCTATTCATTTTCTAAAATGCCTTCTAATTGTACGAAAGCGGAATTAAGAATGTTGGAAGCATAAATCAGATCATTATGATGGTTAACAGTTAAAATTGCCTAAGGAACGGAGTGGCGCTCAAATGGAACACATGGCTCATCCAGTCGAATTCATCGCGCATTCAGAGTCTGTAAGCTGAAAAAGAATTATTTAAAAAACAATCCATAGATGAATTTGTCGCGTTAGAAGGTATCACAAATTCTTGTTCGGAGGGATTGTACATCAAATTAGTTGTATTTACATTTAGAATCACCTAGGTACATATACGTTAAAGTATAAATATAAATAAATAGGTAAATAACAAACATTACATATAACTGTTACAGAAAGACAAAAAACATTATACGAATAAGTCAATATAAAATTATTAGCTTTACCCGCATGTTTCCACACCTAAGCTATGCAGTCGGTTATCTACCAAAACAAAGAAACTAATGATGATGGATCCCTCGAGCACTAAAAACTCCGGACGTAAACTCACTCCACTCTCGGAATGTCCGGGTGGAGGGTGGGCTCGAGGGAACAACATCGAAGATAAAATTTGTTTTTCGAACATCTGCGGGATCAACAGCAACATTGATGCTGTTCATCACTACCTGCAATCCAATCGTCCCGCCGTGCTTTTCTTGGCGGAGACAAAAATCTCAGAGACTGCACCGATTAACCATCTCAACTTCCCAAACTACGAGGTGCACTCCAATCTGAGAAAGAACGGGGGAGTTGTGGCTTTTGTCCGCAGCAGTCTTTCCTGCTCCAGGGATCTTTCTTTGGAATCAGACCGGAAGGACATTCTGTGGCTTCGCCTCAACTCCAAAACATCACCCAAATTTATTTGCTGCCTTTATCGCTCTCCCTCGAACCATAACTGGGATGACCTACTCGAATACCTCGCCGTCCAGATCGACTTCCTGAACATCAATCACCCCGCTTCAGAGGTAGTTCTTCTCGGTGATTTCAATGCCCATAATGAGCTTTGGTTGGGCTCAAATAAGACCGATGCAGCAGGTCGTGCAGTCGAAGCGTTCGCTCTTACTCAAGGGCTGACCCAACTGGTGACGAGCCCTACTTTTTTCCCCCGCGTCTCGTCACACGCCAGTAGCCTGCTGGATCTCTTTCTGACCACTCATCCTGCCCCTTACAGCACTGCTGTCCTGTCCCCCCTGGGTAACTCAGATCACGGTGTTGTGGAGGTTAGGTTTCGGTCAAAAGCCGCTGTGGCTGCAGAAACTCGCACAGGCCGCAAAACTTGGCATTACGGACATGCCGACTGGGAGGGGCTCAGAGACTTCTTCTCTAGCTTTCCTTGGAGAGATGTCTGTTTCACTGACGCGGATGCGTCGACTGTCTGTTCTTCAATAACCGAAATTATCCACGTCGAAATGGAGGAATACATCCCTCACACAGTGAAAGTTCCTAAACCAGGGTCCAACGGCTGGTTCAGCAAATCGTGTGACACTGCTCGCCAGCAGAAGATCAAGGCCCACAGAACCTACTTACAAAACCCCACTGTAGAGAACAGACAAGCCGACGTCGAGTCCAGAAACTAATATAACGAAGCGGTTCGCAATGCCAAAACCCAGCATGATATAAAAGTTAGGCACAGGGTAATGTCGCAGAGCAATGGCAGTCGGTCTTTCTGGACGCTGGCCAAGCAGATTGAAAAGAACTTCTCACACAGTAGCCTTCCACCACTTACGTGTCAGGATGGAACTATTGTATTCGACTCAAAGGCCAAGGCGGAAGTGCTAGCCAAGATCTTTGCTGCCAACTCCACCATGGACGTCCTCACCAACGCCCAAGTGCCGTCAATTCAAAGGGTTCCCCACACTATGCGGGAGGTAACATTCAGGCATAAGACCGTAAGACGAGTGCTCTTGTCGCTCGACATCAACAAAGCTTCTGGTCCGGACTTGATTCCTGCCATTGTACTGAAGAGATGTGCAGCTGAGCTTGCTCCAGTTCTTTCGCGTCTCTTCCAGATATCTTATGAATCCGGCACCTTCCCAGAAAACTGGAAATTTGCTCATGTACAGCCCATCCCAAAAAAAGGATCTAAAACCGACCCTTACAACTACAGGCCTATAGCTCTGCTTTCTGTTATAAGTAAAGTGATGGAGAGGTGCATAAATCGCGAGCTTCTGGACTACCTCGAACGTCACAGCTTGATTAGCGACAGGCAGTATGGTTTCCGGCACCAACGATCCACAGGGGACCTCCTAGCTTACGTCACGCAACTGTGGAGTAAACTCATCCAGTCTCATGGTGAGGCTCATGTCGTTGCTCTTGACATCACGAAAGCGTTCGATCAGCTGTGGCACGCTGCCCTCTTGAGCAAACTTCCATCCTACGGCCTCGCAGAAAAGCTTTGCAGATGGGTGGCTGACTTTATCTCTGGCCGCAAGATATCCGTCGTAATTGATGGATTCTCCTCTTCATCCCACAACGTCAACGCGGGTGTTCCCCAGGGATCGGTCTTGGCTCCAACACTGTTTCTCTTACATATCAAAGACCTCCTTTCCTGCACGATCAACCCAATCCACAGCTTCGCTGATGACAGCACTCTACATGCAGGAATTCAGAGTGACAAGCCGATCTCTGCCGCTGAGCTGGAAAAAAGAAGACTAGCGACGACTTCTTCTCTGACAAGAGACCTGGAGGCTATCACTGCTTGGGGACGCAACAATCTTGTACAGTTCAATGCTTCCAAAACACAGTACTGTACTTTGACGAACAAAAAGCGTCCTAGCGCTCATACAGTTTCGATGGACGGTCGAGTTCTACCAAAGAGCCATTCATTTCGGCTGGTCGGAGTCCAGATCACCGAGGACCTGATCTGGCACGAACACATCTCTTCAATAGCTGCAGCTGCTGGGAAAAATCTAGGCTATTTGTTTAGGGCTAAGAAGTACTTTTCTCCGCATGACCTTCTCACTCTATACAAGGCCCAGATAAGGCCCAGCCTCGAGTATTGCTCACACATTTGGGGAGCTGCCGCCCCGACTACATTGTCCATGCTCGATGCTGTCCAGAGGAGGGCGGTCCGACTGATCGATGACTCTTCTCTAACAGACAGTCTCGGGACTCTTTCGCACCGGCGGGCCGTCGGCGATCTAGCTCTTTTCTATCGCTACACCAACGGGCTTTGCTCCTCAGAGCTCTCTTCCATGATGCCGCCGCGCGATGTGCCTGCCAGACAGACCCGCCTGACTTCGGCGTCCCATCCTAACCGTGTCAAACTTCGTACATCCAGAACTGGCCGATACGACCGCTCCTTTGTCCCGAGGGTGTCTAGATTGTGGAACCATCTACGGGAGGAAGCTTTTCCCAGTTCTACTAACCTTAGGCAGTTCAAAAATCGTATTAACAAATTTCTTTGGGATCATCATAGCAGCCGCGGTGTTCCGGCATTTAGGCTTCTGCCTGCGCGGCTGTTTCGATATTAAAAAAAAAAAAAAATATTAAAAGCAAAAACTAGTAATTAAACAATAAATATGTTATAATCCAGACGGCATGGACTTGCCTAAAACTAAATACAAAACACTACAAACTAATGAATTTAGCTACGGAATAAAAACATCTATCACTAAGGAAAGCTTTCAGTCGTTTCTTAAAAATGTTACTTGATTGAATGTTCCTGATTTCACACGAAAGTGCATTCCAAATTCTAGGTCCCAAACTATTTGGTGACCTGCCACTCAATTTGTATTGAACATAAAGAACACGTACATACCTGTTGACTTTGTCTAGCATTAAAATTATGTATCTGATTGTTTAATGTAAATTTCTTGTAATTTAAACACGTGTAAATGCCCATCTCGAATATAATAATAATGAAGCAAAGGTCAACATGTCATATTTTTTGGATAAATATTTGCAGCTTTGCCTACTATTTACACCTGCCATACAAACAATATCTTAGTCTTGAATCAACCTGGGCATAATACACTTGCATCAGTTGATTCTCTATTAGAATTGTTCTCAGGTTCTTCACGATATAAGACTGTGAGTTTAGTTTCAAAATCATGTAATTAAAGTGCTTTTGAAGATTACAGTATATTCAATATACCTACGAACTTTTCGCAGGCCTCTGTGGGCAATACTACTTCTTTAACTTTCAAGGTTATCGGAGTTATATTTTTTGTTGTGGAACCTCAATACTGTAGTCCTTTCGTACATATCTGACAGCAAGACGGAATCATCGTCTGCGTATAAGACGATCCTAGCTCCGTCCAAACACTTGTCTAGGTCATTTACATATATATTAAACAAACTCGGCCCCAGAATCGACCCCTGTGATACACCTACATTGACAACTATTGTAGGTGACATATTCCCATTAAGCACATTATCTAGTTTCTCGGCCATAGAGATGTACTGGATTATATCACTCAAAAACGATTTTATCCACAGGTTAGGAGCATCACTTATTCCAATCTGTGAAATCTTGTCGAAAAGATTATTTTCTTCGATGATTTTAGCTAAAGTTATGGGCGCCCATATTTCAAAATTCAGGGGGGCACATTGTGGGTCCCAGAATCCATGTTCAGCAAGATTCTCCAGAGAGGGGGAGCGGTGAAAATGGAATGCTCTTCAATTTAATAAAAATCACTCTTGAAATTTCTACTTCGTGGGCCACAGCTTCAACAGATTAATGGATTTTGACATTTGAGATATCATCAGCACAATTGATAGTTCACTCTTTTCAGTTGTAAACTGCATACGCAGATTATTAGTGGTCTTTAAAAATGTACTACCCCTTCTTTATGGGACAAACCGAAGGAGAAGGAATGTGGGGGGAACATCTCCACACTTCAGTGCTAGCAAGATAATTTTCGCAATGTTTGGAAAACCAAAAAAAAACACACACACAAACACGCCACACGATGCTCAAGAAACGGGTTCTCTATTTGGTATATTTTACTTCTTAAGTAGAATCCAGGAGGATGGCATATGATCCCCATTGCGCAG